AAAGCGTGCATGCGCCGAGCGCGAGCCAGGGAACGATTAAACAGCGCCACCAGGCGTTTAAATATTTTCCAAACTTGATAATCCACTTATTCTGTCGGCACTTTAATTACGCTTCAAAGAAGTTGCCTGGAAATTCCCTCCGAAAAAAAAGGCAAACGAACAAACAAATATGAAACTTACAGCTGTCACTTTCCTGATCATAGCATCAACAGAGAGAATATTAAAAGATGAATAATTATTTCTCTGCAGAGGTCTAAGAATTTAAGAAACAAATAAGGACAAATTCAGCATTTGAGTCCTTCCTTTGTTCTTATTTATTTATATTGATTAATTTGCGCCAATATGTTTAACATTAGTTTTTTTGCAATCATTACTTATATCTTTGCTGACGGGGTAAAAGCTTATTCTATATCACCTTCTACTTGGTGAACTGGGATTTAATAAAAATGGAAACGAAACCAAATCTCAAGTGCAGGCCAAATATTGGCCAAAAATTCAGTGGAACTCCAGCAGTAATGACACATGATGCAAGCACCGTGTCGTATTTCTCGAGGCCATTGGCTAAAACATTTGTTGCCTAACCCAGCAAAGTGAGTCTTACAGTGCCAAAGGGAGTTACAGCTGGATCCCTTAAACCAGATCTGACTCAACAGACATCTGTAGGATATTAGTAACCTACATTTCGGCTACGATGTCAAGTGATACACATCAGAAAGAAAAAAAAAGGTACACCTCTATGGACTTTCCAATGCAGACTACAATCAACAACGTGGACAGATCTAAGACTCATTTTGAGGGACCTAGTGACATTTGCACGCTTATGAATGTTTCCAAATGAGTTATAACTGAGCTTCTATTTCTTCCACTTCCAGTCAAGTTTGATGCAAACTCAGACTTCTTTGGGACCAAGAACATGCGTAATTCTCTAACTTGCTTCAAGTATAAACATTTTACTGACACAAGTCAATGAATCAAACTTAACAATCTCATTTATTGACCTGTTACGCACTCTAAACCAGTCAACTCACTTTAAATAGATTCTTTTCTTAATCAAAACGGAGACTTTTCCTCACACAAGTATGAAAAAAGCCAGTTTCTACATTGTTCATAAAAAGAGGAAACAGACGGTAAAACAAAACATTATCTACAGGGACACACTTGCAGCAAATCTACAGTAACGTTCAAGTTGCAATGTGTTTGATCATTACCAAACAGACAAGTAGCTACTGAGAATGTTGGAAATGTTTAATAGTTGCAAGTTAAACTGTACACCTTATTGAATATACAGGAGAATAAAAACTAAAGCATCTTTTACTGGTGTATCTAACATTGGTCTAAAGTCGGAAAAGTCCTGGACTTTTATACTTCTGAGGGGAAATCAAATGTATTTCTCTCCCGCTCCTTGGATTGGGGAGTTGCCATGGCAATACGACAAGAGAAGTCACAAACGTTAGGCACATCCAAGTTCATGCCTCATCCCCACCAAATTGTTCCAATTGAGTGCTTCCAATTTTCACACTTCGTTAAAACTTCAAATTTATGCTACCACTATTAACACCAGTGGAAATATTTTGTCGGGCTCTCCATCCTTCAAGGATATTCCACGTCTCTTCAGATCTCTCAGTACTTCCACGGCTTGGGAATCCGGTCTAGATGTAATCCTCTATAACTTTCGCAAAACATTTTCCCACAACTTGTTAATTTGTACATTTCTGTATCATTTCCGTTTCGAAATCTAACTTCTGCGTGACTGTTTCCAGCCTTCGCAGACTTTCTGAGGTGTACTTGTGTCAGTCAGGGAAGAGTGATCTATACGGTCCTCCTAGCTATCTCCTTGCACCGGACACTTCTGGAGGATCTTGGCCAGGTTGCTCTGCAGCAGGAGGATGTTCTTGCGAGTGTTTTCGTCCATCGTCATGTCAACCTGCGGAGATGACGTGCCGATCGTCAAGGCCTGGGGGGGAGGGAGGCAAGTGTCACAACTATTAATTCCATCATTGCAAGAATGACTCCCACATTGAATTTATAATGTGTTGCATGATTACAAATAATGTTCCACGGCTACATGAGGACAATTTAAAAAAAAAAAGACAGTTCATGAATTACTTTACTTTAAGGACTTGTCCTGGACTTGATTTTATGACACCCCTGGGCAAAAAATATTTCTTAGCTACTTTACATGCTTAACCATATGCTGCCGGAGAACCCAGTTTCGGGCACATAGGCTTTATACACAAAACTGGGGAGCCCGAAACCGGACAAAAGAACTGGGCCTTGTAAAAACAAAAGACCGCACTCGGAACAAAAGACCGAGCTGCAGACATTTTTTCAGTTGTCAATAGCAGAGGAAATCCGTCCTTATTTTGAGAGATTATACCACTATTTGTGGTATTCATCACGAGTGGATTACCATCCGGGACAAAAACGCTCCAGCGATGAGCTATACAATACCGCTGCAAGCTAATCTGGCCCGTATTGAAAAGACGTCAGTAGCGCACTGGGCCAGATTCGGGAACAAAAGAAAGTTACATAACACTGCACACTCTGGGCTCTTTTTACAAGGCGGCAGGCCTGGCTGAAATACTCGGCATCAATAGATGTTGTCTGTCAGATTAGAGTAGCCACCAGACAGTCATTCGTGTGGAGGTAAACATCCAGTAAATGAAGCTATGATTTTTTTAAGAATTTTGGAAACAGAAAATCCTGAAAATCTCCCGGTTTTCCATCATGCAAAATTCCACCCGGCAGCAAGTGATAAACAATGATCTGCAGGGGACCAGTGACAAGCAGCATACACTTTAAGGCATTGTTGCCGGTAACCCATTCCTGCTAAGCAGATATTTTTCTACACTTGTCAGGTGTTCTCAGTTGAAATGGGAACCAGGTATGCAGTGTACGTGGCTCACCGTGCCATCTGCCAGTGGAATCACAGCCTCAGGTCGGGACGCCTCTCGCTTGGATGGCACGTTGATGGGACTGCCTGCTAGGGAGATGATGGTCTCACCCCGTCTAGGGTCTCGCATCACGCAGGTAGCTGGCGTCACCGGTAACCTGAGAGACAAGTATTTGATGAGACGTGATTGTGTCACAGAAGGGTGAAGGGACACCTGAAATCAAACGCCATGCAGAGCAACAGCTGACTGCTCTGTGGAGTGGGGAAATCAGGGAAGAGTTGAGAAGGATTGGGTGGGGGGAGAGAACGGGAGACACACCTTGGATCAAACTTGGGAGTGACCATGGGCGTGTCCCAGCTGGACAAGACTGCCCCCGACTTGCCCATCTTGGTCGCCGGCGTTACAAACTGATTCCTGGCAGTTTTCCTACAAAGACACAAAAAAATTAAACAGCACATCAAAAGGAGGAAAATGTACCTTAACTTAAACTCTCATTGTAACTATGGTTATGACCACCTAGTGTTGTCAAGTCTTTTTTCCCCCGTCCGACATATCCAGCATACCTGAGTCCAATAATTTCCACTCTTCAAAGTACTTGCCCAACACAGTCATGAAACTCCAACTTGATTCCTATTACACTGACAACGAGGTTGGCAGGGCCTGACATCTCTGCCCTTGAAACCCAAGGTTGACGGGAGCAACTATGTCATCTATAATGACATAGTGTATGAGGAGCCAGAAATTAGGCTCGTCCAGGAAGAGTCCATCTCAGCATTTTTATACTTTATCCGACTTGGAAAAGGATTTCACACCCCAATGGTCTGGACAAAATATCTCCTTTTATAGTATTTGAAGTAACACAGCAGTAGATTTGCCTTGAAGCTATGCATGCTGGAAGTACTAATTTAGGTCAGGCTTGCGGTTGCACCATGTACAAGAAAATATCTCTTTTATGAGGGTGCGGTTCCGAGAAGAACCGATGGTGAACACTCGACGTTCCGAACAGTATGCTCTGTTCTTCACTAACACAACAGTATTCTCAAAAGGTCTGGTCCTGGCTATCTCATCTTAACAAAGCCCCTGCCCTCCAATTATGGTCACTACCCTGGTGTCTAATTAGAGTTGCCTGCAGGAAAAATGAGCTGATTTTCCGAGGTGAAATCGTTTTTGTTACACAGTAGATAGGCCGCAGTGCTGTGATACAGATCTGAGTGCCTCAGTCCGACGGTTAAGCTGTCTGACCCAAGCACTATCACCATGATTAAAAATGATTAGAAATAATTTGCTGATGAAGCAAGCAGGTTTATGAGTTTGTGGGGAGGCGGACGTACTGTCTGGTGGACCGGCGCACCGTCTGAGGCTCTCCAACGTCCTGTATGTTCATCTCCTGATTGTTGGTCAGTACGCTCTGCGTCCTCGTTGAACGTTTAGATGTTGCTGCCGCCGTTGTCTTTTTCCGTCCCTTTGCTCCTTTCTGGATGGAGAATCGGAAAACAACTTAGAGCTGGGAAGTAAACTTACTCACACGGAGCACATGGAGCAGTTCTCTTGGTAGAAAATGAGGATCAAAATATGGACATTTCACACACGAATTCAAAGTTATATTCTTAGAAAAATAATTCAACCTCACCCCCTTAATCCTTCCAAATTTTAGGCACTGAAGGAACTCAATTGCATGTACAGTCTTTATGAATTAGATGGGACACCAAAGGGGAATTAAATCCCTTGGCTATGGAACCAGTGTTGGGCTCTTCCTTCCTCGAACCTACAAAATCCTACAATGTACTGGTGGATTTCGAAGGATATGGGGGTTAGTGTTAGCCGTCCTCTCTTAAAGAGGACTTGTGCTTGTTGGCATTTTGCCTAGAATGAACACACATCTTGGCACACACACATTTCTTTAATGCTAACCATCCCAGATTTTCCACAATCCAAAAAAATTGGTTTTGAGGGCCTTTGTGGGATTTAGGAATAAACTCAGCCCTAACTGGGTCTACCTTTTTTGTAGTAGTCACAGTCTTTTCTGTGCATTCCTCCAAGGCGCTGGGCGCTTGAGCAGTCGACGAGGACTGCGCAGATAAGGCCTTGCCCTGCTTGGACGCCGTCATGGTCTTGGCGACGATGGACGAGGCCAGCGAGTCCGTCATCTCAGTGACATGCTGCAAGGCGGTGTCATTGATGCTGCCGCCCCTGGCTGTCACGGGGAAAGCCACACTGAATTGAGTACATTTCTTAAAACTTCGCAGGGCTGCCTGGCTAGCTTCCAGCCAAATTCACAAGCTGTCGCCAGTTCTGCAGACTAAGGGTGTGATTTTTCATGCCGGTTTATTCTTGGCACAAGAGCAGACAGGAAAGCCAAAGTATGACATCGGAACAAATTTATAGGCTGCAAAATTCACAAGACTTTAACATACGTCAACTCCAGCAAATTTTGCTTTTGTTTAGTGACATCATTTCTACTTTGCTCTCATGCTCGACAGAAAAATGTGGGGTTCATCAAAATTGGGTAACCATTTTTTACATCCGGTTGAGTGCAACCACTACACTTTGAGGAAAATAAATTAATCATAAGTTGATTTGGTGGTATACTCTAGCTACAATTGTTACCAACAGACACAAATTTGTGCCTTCCATTAAGGAAAGGTTGTGTAGGAATCTGCAAAGAGGATTTGGCATATTAAAACCGACAAATAACACCTTTTACTGGCGATTTTTTTTACGAGGAGTACCAAGCATCCACATCAAATTTTTGTGGTCAAGACCTTTTCAGGAATTTCTGATTAAAATAATAATCTGGATTTCCAGATACAAATTAGGCCTTGAAACAGCTTCACGAAGGAAGAAACATACGTGTACTTTTTTAGGTTAGACAAAATGTGGCGTTTCAAAGCGAGAGTCTCTCCAACTTCTTTTCTGCATCCAGATTCCCAATGAAATGCTTACATCTCAAATCTTACCCTTTCCTTCAAACAACTAAACGTACCCATAAAATCCGTTTTGGCCATCTCCCTGATGCTCTTGGGAAGTTTGAACAGTTCAATGGTGAAGGCACTGTTGATGGCATTACACATCGTTGTGGCCTCGCTGCGAGCTTGAGCAATGCAGTTGGCAACTATATTAAAGGAGAAACAGCTTGTGACATCTGGCTCTAAATGTGGATTTCAAAATCAATGGTTGCTCTAAAGCAAAGCCCGCATGTCGTCAAATTCAAATTGCGTGTACGCAAGGGGTGGTAAGTTTTTCCTTATCAGGGGAAAATAGAAAAAAATGTCCCTTCATGGTATTGTCTTCTTTTAAATTTTTTTTCCTTTCCCACTGATTTGCAAATATGTACAAATTTGGTGATGAGACAATTGTGGAAGGACATAACAGTCCTGTAGCAACTTTTCATACACAAAATATCTCCACGTATTTTCCATCCCCGTCTGCTCAGAATGTAGCATTCTGTGCACAAAGCTTCACTTTTAATAGGGTGAGGGCCGCCTAAAACAGCAAACCCCCAACAAAATTTAGGGCTGACTAACTCTTGACACATACCTCCAAAATCCTGACACCGAGCCTTGAGAATCATCTTAATGGGTGGGGGAGGGTTATTGTGGGGAAGAGCCAGGAGCAACTGAGAATTGCTGGGGGATTTGTAAGAAGAATTCACCTCACCTCTCAAATCAAAGTCCTTGAGGTAGGCATCGATCTTCTTTTGCCTCTCTTCATTGCTGGAGTTCCCGCTCTCGTCTCCTGAGGCGGTCTTTGCAGCCAACGTCACTACCTTCGTCCGGCGCTTCTTTGGCATGATGTTATTTGATATTATTCTGACTTGCTATACAGAAAAAATTGCATGTAAACAGTGAAAATGAAAGCTTTGCATGTTACACATCCATCATTAGCAATCACAACTTTTCTGCTTACTGTTGTAAGAAGTGCCATGAAATTTGGCCCAAGGGGACTACTTGATGCCCATGAGCACAAACCTATGAGACTGGTATTTTGTCTGAAAAACTCTACTTGGAAATGAATACACTCTGTGGGAACTGGCCAGAGGCGTATGTAATTTCAAGCCATTGCCATGATTGCCAAGTAATTTGGATGTGGCCAATGCCTGGTTTGACGGCCAGTAAGGGTGCATGCGCACACACATCACAATTTTGAAAATAAAGAGTGGTGGAAGTGAACTGATTGATACACATTGTCTAAGGCTGAGAAATTTTGAATCTGGCTTTGTTGTGAAAAGTCAACATGTACATGTCATGACATGTACTTCCACAACTGTAAGGTTTATACAAACCTTGCAGATAGCCATGTACAAACTCCCATATTTTAAATACATGGGCCATAAACACAGGATCTGTTTGGTCTTGGAACCAAACAGCGTTACTTTTTAACGTAGATCCCCAGAGCATGACATTGCCAATGAATGTGATTGATGAACCAAAATGCATACGGTGCTTGGGATCGAGTGTAAACTTGTTGCCAGACATATCATTCAGCGATCGGGAGTTAGTCGCGGTAGGCCTATGCCTAGTGTAAACAAATGGCCTAAATGGAAACCAAAATTTCACGGTAAGTTCTACAAATTGGAAATCACCCTAAGTTACACATCAGAGTATTAAGGGGGTGAGTGATCATAGAAGGCATTTTTGCTGGGTCTCGCTTGAATGGACCGCTGTGGGGCCTGGGATACGGAGGAAGTCCAGTACAGTAGGCTGCCTCCGGGGGGGCTAGCAAGCAATGTTGTTGCAGTTAGTGGTTATGAATTTCATTCTTATGTCTTGATTCACATTTCTACCAAATTATTTCATATCCATGACATTCCTTACCTTGGAGTAGCTTAGGCAATAATCTTTATGAATGGTAAATTTTCGACTCGGTGTATTTAAGCACAAAAAACAAATGACATTCACAAAATCAGCAAACTGAATAAACCGCCAACAAATTAAAAATATCAGTGCGCCCTCTTTTGACAAAAAAGTTAAACGTTAGAAGAAAGCGCCCTCTAGTGAAAATTAAAAGGACGCCCTCTTGTGAAATTTTTTACCTAAATAAAGCGCCCTCTTTTGACACTTTACAAAAATTATTTTGGGGCGCCTCCTTTTATTGGGAAATTGAAAATAAACTTTCAGAAGCACGCCCTCAACCATGTTTTCTGTGTAAAAGGGCTCCCTCTTGTGACCAAACCTTTTTGACAAAAATTACCAAGGGCTCCCTCTTCAAGCATAATTTTCGCGAAAAGGGCTCCCTCTCTTGTTAGGTGAAAGAGAAGTTGCAGATCATCAGTCTGTTGCTTGCAGCTAGCCTCTGCTTTAGTTCTGGTTAGTAAAACCTTTCTTATCTAGTTTATATATAGACATGAAGTTAGTGGAACACTTTGTTAATGATGAATCATAAGAGATCAGGAAGATTTGGATTCATCTCAAGAAGAGAATAAAAATTCCATTAATAAGCCTCATTTAGGAAAGGCCTTTTCCTATCCTGCGTAACTAGGCTAGTTTAGTTAGCATGTTAGGCACTTGCCCCACAAATAGGGCTGTGGTGGCATAACTTTTATGCATTTTTGATGGCGTAGCGTTGAGTAATATGTACAGAAAAGGAGTCCTTGTAGTTCCCCGCACATTTAGTTGGACGCTCTTTGTCAGATGATGTATTATACATTTACAGATACATCTGGGAACCAGACAAATGATGTGGTCTTGTGTCCTGTGTACATGTACAAGCTTAAAATACTTTTAAACAGAAAGTGGGGGGCCCAGTCTGTTTTAGTGTTGGTAGCGGCCAGCATAACGTGTGCATGCAGACACGATCGAGATCGCAAGTTCTACATACATCATTTCCAGCAAAAAAGCGAGGTTAAATAAAAGCCTGCGTTGCCGCACCACTTTTGATTTATTTTGGGGGTCCCAAGCAGCAAAGTCGTAAAGTTTGTGTGATTATTCCTGATGTGTATATTCTCTGCACTCCAGTTGATCAATTCTTCTGTCAACGGTAAACTTTGATGTCTTCGGCTCACGAGACAGTTACCAGCGATAGCGAAGAGACCATCCTCAAACAGCTGAGGAGATCCTTCAAGATGGTCAGCCAGCAAGCAGCCGTCTGGCAGGAGGCGTCAGACTGCTCTGCATCGCTGGTGCGGTCTCTGGCCAACCATGCAGAGCAACTGCAGTGCTGCCACTCAGCTTGCAGGGATGGTTGCCGCGACGTTTTGCAGCAGTTCCCCGATCTGCACGAGAGGCTGGAATTTAAGCTGCTGAAGTCCATGGAGGTGATTCTGTCAAGGCTAAATGCTCACCTGTGAGTTCTTGCAATGAAGCAACGCAACACTCAGACTTCCATTTGTTAGCACTCATACAATTTGAACATAACAATGCAAAAATCAGTGATGGAACAAGACCCCTCCCCAACAAGCCAAGCCCCACCCCCTTTACCCCCTCAGAAGTTGAAAAAGAGCACCAGAACATGATCATGTTGTGACTTCTGGGCAAGTAACCTTGGTTTTTGGGGGGGGGTTTGGTGGAGGCTAATAGTTTCCTTGCCCAGCACAATTCTGAGATGCAGTTTTGTGCACATTCCGTTGAAAATTTCAATCTATATGCTCTCAAACCAGAAGCCTTATGGACATCTTTTTATTAGAGGAGTGTGGCATTAAATAGAAATAAACAGCCCTGTTAATGGTAATGTTTACCATTTTCATTGTTGGAAGTAAGATGCAGAGAGCAGTAAGTCAAAAGGAAATTTTCCTCTTGGCACGCCTTTATGTACCCGTCGTTACTCACTCTGTGTTCCTTTGTAACTTGTTTTGGTAGGCTGACCATGGAGGAAGTGTGCAAAAAGCACAGCCAGCACAGTGCCTACTCACTCGGGGCATATCACAACCACTACAGGGAGGTGGGTGTGGCTAAAGTGCTTGCCAGGTCAGCAACATGGCCGTCAATAGCCGACATGCTGCAATGGCTAGCTGATGTGAATTCACTCTATAGAAGACTGTATCCTTTCTTGGCCTCTCCGAGAATATTATCCTTGAAAGTACATGCATTTAAGTACACCCACACTTGTTCCGTAGTTGTGGAGACAAACACTTGTCATTACTTGGACTTCATAGGACGGAGAAATGTCTTTAAAACTCCGTCCTAATTACCTAACAAAAGAAATGGTCCCTCTAACGCTGTGAAGGTGTGCCCGTATACTTCTGGTGTATTGTTTTTATTTTCAAAAATTTGATGGACATCTGTTCCTTGACTTCTGAATTTTGTTAAGATATGCTGAGAAGCAGTGGCTTTATGACACCATCTCCTACGATAAGTTACACGAGATGCAAAGTCTTGCGAGTAGGTGGCAAAGAAATGATGTTAAATTATCAGCAGTGAAAAGTAAGTGCAATAAATGTGCATAGGTAGGACCAGAGTCTCCAATTTTGGTTTTAAATCACAAAACTTCAAAGGACAAAGTTGGGGGGGGTGTGTGAACAATTCTTCTGTTGGGTATAGGTGGCCATGGACTCCTGGGTCAAGTTCGGACGGCCTGTTCTTGACACGGATTTCTTGTTCTTGCGTTCAAACGGCTGGAACACGACTCAAGAACACTGTTCTCGGAGCAGGATCACACACCACCTCTTCGTCATCTGGGTTTAAGAGGAACACACCTAAAAAATCGAGAGATTTTTATTTTTGAACAGCCACAAACAACAGCGAGATGGCTTAGAAAGCTGGAGACAATGGGAGGTTTTGCAAACTTTAACATAAATAATTTTTCATAACAGAAATGGTCAGCTCAGTTATCAGAACATTAAACCTCAAAGAACGTTCATGGACGCTGCCACGTTGCATGTTGCTTGCCACTAGCTGCCAGCTGTAGCTGGTTGTATATTTCTGGCGTGCAAGCAGTTGACCCACAAATCACATATCGCGCTGTTCATGAACATACGAGAACAAGACGCCCAAACTCAGCCCTGGGGACTTTTAATCTTTCCTCGTCTAGTTTCCAGACTTGTTTGCTTGAAACTGAACAGTTCTTGAATCTGGAATGCCTAAAGTAGAGATGCTTTTCCAGGGCTTACATTAATCATGGTTCTGAAATGTGGCTTCTCAGTGGTTTTCACAAGTCCTGTTGTTGCTGCAGCATTTCTAGGGCAATGTTTTTTTTCCCTGTATTATTCACGGTTACTTTTTTGTGTTCATTTTCTGCTAGGTGTTTTAGCACATGTGGCCTTCTTCATGGAAGATCGCTGACGAAGTTTTGGGCATGTAAACAGCTTTTTGGCAAAGACAACACGTCTGCCAAGTCCACCAGTGCAGGACCTTTCAATACAGAGGCTCTTTTGCACCAGACGTCTCCAGTTGTCAAGTAAATTGTATCACTGGATTGCGGCAAGCATGCAGATGTTGCGCTGGCTTAAGAAAGGTCTTTGGATGAAATTCAAGAGAGGTGTCATTTTGGGAAAGAAATGTACAGTTGGAGATCCCCTGCCAAGTTGACTACTTTGAGCGACCCACACGATGTCTGCTGGCTGGGCCAAACCAAGATGCGACTTCATTAAATGTCTGAAAATTTGGGCACAGTCGAGAACTGTGTCACATTTGTTGTCAAATCGAGAGGGAACCAAATTCTGTCTCTTAATTCAGGATGCAAGTGAACACTGTAGGATTATGCATAGACAGACGTCCATTTGACAAACAGACCTCTATCGTGGGGCGGCCATCTTGCTTTTCTACTATTCAAAGTAATGTAACCAAACTGAGGCTGGAAGGAGTAATAGTCTGTTCCTTTTATCAATATAAGAAGTTGTATTACTATTATCAGTGGTCTTCCGGGGGACAAGACAAACATGGAAGCATCATGATAAAGATCTAAGGGGGGTGTTGAGGTGGAGTGAAATAAAGGAACTTTCCAGATGGCAAAGGAAATACACTTGTGCCATCGATACTACTGAAGCCAATATCAATATTGAAATGAAAGTCTATTTAGTCTGTGAAAACAGAAAACATGCACATTAAAAAAAAAGAAGTGTGATGTAAATGATGTACTCACCCCTCATTAATATTCATTTATGAAAACAAAGGTGTGGCATGCATACATTTGCAGAGACTCTCGTTGGTACAAACGCACTGCTTTATTTACTGTAGTACTAATCTGTGATTTTCTAATTATAAAAAGATTAAGCTCAGACATGAACGATTGTATATTTCAACAAACACAGATAATATCACTTTAAAGTGTTTGTCAGCAAGCTCAGATGCCCAACTAAAAAAGAATAAATAACTCTTTAAAAAAGGTTAAAAATTTTGAACTCCATCGTTCTCAGGCTTTGCCTGTTTCACCTCTGCCTTTGGCTCAATACAAGTTTTAGGAAAGAAACAAGAATAACTGGCTTTTTGTTTTTTAGAGTAGCATCAAAGCGTATGCTACGGACCCAAAAATGGGAATATTAGTAATTTCAGACAACTTTGGTTCAAACAATGTTGGCCAGGACATTTCAGTGTCGGAGATGAAGCCTGTGACGGAGGCAACACTGAGATTTCAAACAAAGAAATTTTCAATGACATTCCGGCTGCTAACAAAACAGCTCAGCACAATCTTTCAACTTCCTTATTTGTCCATAATTCAAACTTGTTTTTCCACAGCTCTCGTTACCATTGCTCGAGTTTTCCTAGTCACTTCAAGTACATGTAAAGCCACAACCTTACTCCGAAGAGACCTACGGCATCATACAATGCTTACATCCTGTACTTTCCAATAAAGCCAGTAACCATGGTAACAGTAAAAGATGTCATCAGTGTTCTTGTGCATGTTCTATGTTTATCTCTCATGCGTGTTCATGTACATGAAGTCACATGCATGCCATACACGAGGCACTGAGGGAGGTACACGTGGAAACGTACACCAAATTGACAAGCCTGTCTTGCATTTCTCAAAACAATGGCAAAGCGACCTAAATCCAATGAAACTGCCCAAAAATTTTGGAAAGAAAGTGTCGTCAAGTTGCACTGTTTAGGAGAAATCTCTTAATAATACAACAGCAATCCGAGTGCAGGCAATTTGACATCGAGTATGAAATATAACCTTCGACTGGAGGAGGCAAAGTTTTGGCAAACACTTGGAGGAAAAAGTTCTTTGCAGCTTTTTCCTGGCAAATACATCTTTGTAGCAAGAGAAAAGCCATTAACCCTACAATGCAGGTCACATGGCTACTGGGTGACCTTTTCATCAAAATATCCAAATAGATATTTGGGACAACAGCCAAACCTGCGGAAATTCTGGTAGCATCTTAAACTTTAACAGATTTCTGAGTATATTTCTGTACCTCCCATCCACATCAAAACCCTGTTCCATAATTTTGGGGCTAGCTACCTGTAACAACAAAAAATCCCCATATAAAATGCATCTGAACTGGCATTGTTAAGGGCCGAGAAATGGTCAGAACGGCGGCTCAGAGATTAGACATTTTTGTTACAAGTTGAAGCCAACAATTTTGTTTAATAAAAAGATGGGAGAGAGTCCCCTCTAATGTTTAAAAAAAAGTGTGCGGCTTCCGATGCACAAAAAAAGAGCCGTTTCATGCAAGTCATAATGGTCTGCCCGGATTGCATGAAATGTCAATGGTTAAGTGTTCTTTATATTTCAAGGATACCCGTATACCAAGTACTGACATACATGTAAGACGGATACCTGATTCTAAAAATACCCATTAATACACACCCCTATAAAAATTAATGATTCCAGCAAATGCAAGGCACACCTGCTTTTGAACAGGCTTCATTTACTCTAACCTATCCCTAAATATGCTGCCACCCTGCTGAATCCAATGATAACCAACAGCTTTGTAAGTGTGAAGCCTCCTTTACCCAACAGAATCCAACAGCTAGAACAAAAGGCCTATTGTTCGCTACTCACATCAACAAAATCTCTCAGAGAGAGCCCACTGTTGGATACTTTTGGGTTCAGCACGGTTAAGGCTTATCAAGCATACTCCTTGAACACTAACTAGTGGGTGTTAAGAACTAGCTGGCACGGTAGCTACGGTGTAGATGGTACCCAAGTTAGACACACTTTGACTTGTGTCGGCTCTTGAACATATGGTAACGTGTAATTGTTGATGATGTACATGTGTTCTTTGTTGAACCTGTCGGAATTCTGGAATACCTGTACGAAAAGTTGGTGGCTTTTCTTCTAAACACACTATATGGCTGCTAAGGAGTCTTTGCGTGGTAGCCATCTTGCAGGGCAGTTCTTTTGTGTATATCCTGTGGAACAAAGGCACTGGCCTGAGAGATGGCCGCTACGCAAGCCCTCTATTATGCAAGAAGCTGCCTGAATATTTCAGTATGATTTAAAATTGAACTTCAGTCTTCTAATGATGCTGATTATAAATTCGTTACGCTGTACAAGATTAGCACAATGATTAAAATTACTACTTTCACATACACTACAGAACAACAGTTCAGTATATTCGATGTTATCATATAACCACATTAAAGAAAAAACACCCACAGTCAGGTTTTGCTGGTTTCACAGATATCACTGGCCAAGTCTGCACGTCATCATTTGCATTATTAATGAATAATTCATCAACTCTGCTCGAGAAGAACTAATCAGAATGCTGACTTTCAATTCAACCTTGGGATAGGTAGCCAATGCGTAGGTCATAGAAAACTCCAACTACAAACAACCCATTCAAAAATAACAGCACAACATCTACCAGCATGAGAAACTCTGACATGAAAATATTGTTGAGTGTTGAACATGCTTAGACCTTTTCCCCGGAGTAAGCTGTTGGTTGACCGGGAGGGTAGGCTGGTTGGACAGCAGGATAGGCCGGTGGGGCAGTAGGAGATAAACCCGGCTGGCCAGCAGGGTATGCCGGTTGGCCGGCAGGGTACGCTGGTTGGTTGGCAGGATAAGCCTGCTGACCGGCAGGGTAGGCCCCTGGTTGCCCATACGAAGCCGGTTGACTGGATTGACCGGTCGGTTGCATGGCCATAGGGGGTTGCTGCTGGGGCGTCTGGGATACAACCTGATATGAGGGCTGCTGCGGTTGGCGTTTCTTGCAGCAGCAGTGGTAGCAGATGCACCCCACGCAGACACAGACCAGCACCACGCCCACGATGGCAGCAATGATGATGGCAACGAGGATGCCTATTGCAAGACCCACAGTTTTATGGACAGTGTCTTCAACATTGATAGAAGTACCTAGGAGGATACACAAAAGCATTTAGGCTTACACTCAACAAATACATACATCAATTATCATTTTGCATTCATTCGCGACTGAAGGAAAATTTACACACTGCAAACAACCCAGCCAAAGTTTAGTAACAGAAAGTGTTCCTGATCCCTGTTCTTATTACACATCTGGAGAATTACTTTTCAAGTTTTCATCGTGCAGAGTGTTAAAATTGTTATTAAACGCATGCTGGCTCTCCCAAAAAAATAGTGCAAGGCAAACAATGCGTGAAGGATTCTGGTTTGGGCATCAAATTCGCTCATTAATTTGAAATTGGTACAGGTATGTTTCTTGCCAAGAAATTCGACCGAGGCAGAGTCTCTGAAGTAAGACATCTCTTCAGGTGTCATCATTACTTACTGAAGGTCTCGTCACTGTTGTCACCGCAGTTGTCATAAGAATTGAACCTGAGGCTCACATCGATGCATCGATTGTTGTCGCATTTGAATTCGTCTGCACCACAGGTCGCTGAAATTAGCGAAAGGCCACATGATATGAATAGCAGGTACTTAGCTGTGCGATGTTGAACGCGTCGGAGGAAAGAGGGATGCGACGTGTTTTGGTTACAACAGAGTTGTAATGACTCAAGTCAATTATGCAACTGGAGTCCAATTTAAGTCAAAATTTGAGACGACAACTCGACTTGAGTTTCAACGGGCAAATGACTTAACACATGTCACGGCGAGCAATTGACTCAACTCGAGTCCTTCATCAGAAGATCGGACTCAAGTGAAAGTTAATACGATGATATTTGCAATGACTTACAGTGCGGGTTTATAACGTTCATGTCGTGTTGTCATCAAGACTAAGATGTGGTTGTGACCACATCCAGAAACCAAGAGGTAAATTTAAAAAGGCCTCAAAATTTTTTATCACATCATGTGCAAATATTTGTGACTCGAATTGACGCAAGCTAAATACTTGGTTCGACTCAACCTCTCTGCCTAATGACTCGACTTGATTCAAGTCACTGTTATAATAACCTGAGTGACTATGTTGTAACGATTTGACTTGATTAAAGTTACAAAAGTAATGACTTGTTGCATCTATATGCCAGAGTCACTGCATTACAATGATTTGGCGTGACTCAAGTCATAAAAGTTAGTGGCTCGTTACAAATTCTAAGCTAAAGAAGTTAACCACGGTTGCACCAAGTCTACAGACAAATTAGGCAGAACAGGCTCGAATGAATGGGCATTCTTTTGAATGATTTTTGAAGTTGATTCGCCAGGGATATAGCTTGGACAGGTCATGGAAGCTTTGAAAATATTACGATACACTAGGCTTTGACAGATGCAGGGATACAGAGATTTGCACTGCAGACTTGAGGGGCTTCATTATTCTGGTTTTTGAAAATGTACAGTATTATCCCTCGTAATGTGCTCCGTCAATGAAAAACTTACAGAAGGTAGGCGACTCGAAGGACGTGTAAGAGAGGACGAATCCTGTCCCTGATCCGGAATAATCGGTCTTGAACCTCAAAGTGATAGTATTTGTTAATGAAACAATGTTCCCAGCCGAGGTGCCACAAATCACCCCGAGGTCCGCGGAACGGAACAGAGTCGATGATCCCTCGTAGACCTCCAGGTAGTCCGAGTTACAGCCCAATCCACCATCGATGTCGACCTGGCTGAAGGTGAGTAGGATCCGTCGATTGAAGTCGGCAGTGATAGTGACCGTGCAGTCTATGAGGTCACCGTAATAGTAATCAATCTGGGAGTCAAGCTTGTCCCCGGAACGGCCAGCATCGATTGTTCCACCGCAATTTTGGTCCATGTATTCTGCACAGTGTGTAAAAGGTAACAGGAATCATAAAGAGAGAACACGCCAAGAAATGGGGAATGCACCTAAATCCTGCACTGTTCACATCCCACCACCAGGCTGTCTCACCCAAGACGTGGAATGTCATCTTATGAGATTACTCACGCCGACCCCCGGGCAGGTATTCCATGTCTTGCGCCTATGGATGACAAATGAATCCTGGCGCTTGAAACTTGTGACAATCTCAACTTTTTAAGACCTGCAGGCACCGTAGGAGAAGAGGAAGAGGGGAAACACTTTGGACAAGTGCAGACAAAAGCAAAACTTATCACGGTGAACACACAAATCTCCCGCACCGTAGTTGTGGGGACATACACTCGACCGAAAATGTTGTGGGGACTCAGAAATGTCCCCACAACTCGGTTCAAATTTCCCTAACTCAAGAACTTGTCCCCTATAAAATCCCTCCTATGGTTTTACA